CGCGCGCGCGGAAAGATGATCGATGCATCGCAGCTCGCGCCTCTCTTTTACCTCAGCGCTGTATATGTACATATGGCACGTACTTTAATAAAACATACATAAACGTGTAATGAGGCATGGGACGAGAGATGTAGCATGTACGTCGGCAAAATCTCACCTTCATGCGGTGCGGCTTATTTCGCAACGAGTATATGAGCCCTGATTTTTCGTTTTACCCTTGCGAATTGCAAGCGATTTATTGGATTGGGCGCATCTTGTGAAATTTTTTACAATTTTCTTTATCGCTCGCAATGACTGATTCGAATATAAAAAATCATTACGGGCAGATAATTATCTTTGGGATGCACGATTGGATTGACTTTTTGTCGCGTCTTGTTCGCGGCTGATGTGCATATTTTTTAATCATCAGCTGTAAATGAGTAAAGTGACCAATAAGCAAATAAACAAAATCCATAAATCTCAGCCTTTTAGGTTGGTATAAATAAAATAACTTGTATTGCACTCCTTACGAAGGTTTTCATTTTCAAAAATGACCGCACGATGCACGGTGTAAATAAATTCTTACGGCAAGCCCATCAGTTAATTTATTTTTAGCGTACACGATTAATACTGGTCTTGAAAAAAAATACGCATCGCATCGCGAGCGAATTATTTTCTAAAAAAGAATAAGTAAAAAAACTTCTCGGAACGTATTAACGAATATATTTCCGCCCGAGGCATACGCGCGACAGCGACGACGGTGGTGGCGACGAGCGACGACCAACAAGGCTTGCTTTTATCTGGCTACGCTCGAAATGGATCCTTGAAAGTGTCGAGAGATCGTGGCACGGCGTTATTGTCGAGTACCTGATTCTTACCATCGCGCGGCCTGTGTAAGTTTTGACCACGAACGACTTTATTCGATATTACGCGGCTTAAAGTGCACCGCCACGGTACGAATGGATGCAAATAAATTAACTTTAAAAATGTATTTAAGGACGAGATGCGTCTTGATAAAATGCACATAACGATACTTTGCTAATCAATCAATACTCCAAGGTATTTTTGTTTAAAAAATAACCCTAAATAAATACTGTAATTGGATACATGGCTATCTCGAAGTCGCAAATTAATTTCAAAGACCATGCCTATTTGAATATAGAAAAATTGTAAAGTTACGCGCTCCGAAATTTAATAGATAATGATTGATCTTGGATTACCGCAGTAAATTAGATCACTTTTTAAATAGACTGTGAAATCAGCCCTTCTATACGGATGCACGATTTTTGAAAAGGTCAACCGCAGTTGCGTTTACACTTTTAAATTCGTAATTGAAGTACACGTCGATACACTGCGAATAAGGCGACGAAACAGTGAGAATGACGCTTGACTGCAGATGTTGTACTCGGCTTGCAAGTACACGAATAGGTACATAATCTCGATAGACGATTAATTGTATACATGTCTCTCGCGATCGCCATTCACAGTAAGTCTTGACTCGAGTATTATGATGTTGGTTTAGGCTAATACTAGCCTATTACAAGTGCTTATGTAGACTCTGCCCGACCATTATTTAAAGTTCAAAATTCTCTGTGAAAGATCGATAGATGTTACGTGCATAAGTACTTGTCAATTTATAGGATCACAATCAGTTCCGCACAATGAGAGGCAAATGATGGATCGATTATTATCCGGAGTGCAATTTTCCTGCTTATAAATGCAACAAGATTTTGATCGATGCTCGTACTCAACACCGCTGAATGTAATGCAGGCAAATCAATGAATCAATGAATAAATTAAGTAATTTTTTAACTTTTACAACTTTTTATTTAATTTTTATGACATTTTTTAAAAATGTTGGGTTGACTTCTTAGTTGACTACTCGAATGCCTCTAAGTTTTCAATCTATTTTTCTATAAGAATTTGAGGAAATGGGCACATTGTCTTTTAACTTGTTTTTCGAGTTCTTACAGGAAAGTGCATTAAGATGATTGAAGAACTTATCGTTCAAACTTTGGAATAGTAATTCACTTTTTTTCTTCCTTTAAATCAAAAGACGTTTCATATACAATTTCAAGAGTAGGGAAAAAATCTAATCGAGTCGAAATTTTATCTAAAAAAGAGAATTTTTTGGTAATAAAAATCATTGATATATTTGAATAATTCCTTATAATGCCGTAATGTACACTAACGACGTTTTTATTTTATTTTTTGCCGGAGGGAACGTCTTGACCGTACGTGACACTAGTGAGTTATACGTACTTATATGCACGAGTACGAATGCTGCGCAAAGACTAGTTCGTAGATGCGATAATCCTCTCTCTTTCTACGCGGTGAAAGCCATCGCATGATGCACCGTACGCCCTCGACTGTTTTTTTTCTGCATAGCTTATAAGTACCTTGGGCGGTATGCACACTTATGAACAAGACTTTTTCTCAATAGCTGCGACCCGATCGTGATCGGATTAAATGGCTAAAGAATTAAAAGACACATTGTATGTATTGTAGCTCTCATTGTCTAATTCCAATTTATAAGCTCCTCGTTCTCGCACACAGGAGCGCACCTGTGTAATTAAGATCTTCGCGAGCATCGGAACGAGCTGCTACGACATTTGTAACGGCATCGTTTGCTCTCTGAATTGTTTAAAGATGCTAAGTTTCAAAACCGACGCCTTTTTTATCTATGTTTTTATTGCTATAGGTAAACAGAATATTTTGAATTTGGCTATTAAAAATTATGACTGCTCAGATAAATTTACTATAATTCATCGTCGAAACGAAATTCATCCAAGTAAGACTGGGCAGGAGCATTGATGCAGCTATTTCATACAGTCAATTGCAGATGATTTCATTATTTGTCTAACACATAGTCGGACACTGTAATAATCTGCAAGCTGTTACAAAATGGGAATAAAAATGAATGAATAAATAAAAAGGCAAGGTTCGTCGTCGTATCGAAAATGCATTAGAAAGCTCTCGACGAATGTGTAAAAGCGATCTTCGCGCAGGCCGGTCAAAGTGTCATATATTGCGCGAATGCACTGCAGCAGCGCGCGTTAAATTTATTTACAAGTTGATGCAATACACGTGCAGTGGGTATTTTTGATTTGTCAGAATTATGCTGCGGGCTTTTTTTATTATTATTAAAGAAAAATTGCATGACGAAATATCAAACGCGTGTGTATGCTTGTCATTCGAGGATTCGACTCGTTTTAATGATTCTGAGTAATGTAGAAAAACGTTCAAAGGATGACAATTTTTCATCTTTTGAATCACTGTGGCTTGAATATTAAAATTTTAATTTGTATACATTTAATCATACTGGATATTGTTTTAATCGATTGAAAAAGGGTGTTATGTACATTAGTTCAATCTGATTAAATTTCTTCGATGTGTTTGCTGAATCGATTTTAAACCACTAGCACTATACTCTAATGCACAAATAAAAGTGTCATTCAGAAATACTAATAATCTAAATATTCTCAGAGTGAGCATTCCGTGGTGTTGAACAATTTTGTTACCATAAATAATGTTCATATTGATGATTCTGGAAGCTTTGCATGCGAATAATATCACGCATATCCGCGTAAAAGTCGGCGACTCGACGCTCATCGTGCGCACATGTGAGAGGCAGCGGGCTCACAGCACGGCGGCACGTCATATCGTGCATGCTCGAAGCATCTTTAAATGGCAAGGTCATTCCGCAAGGATTGCATCACCTGTGCGCGCGCCACCAGTCAAGACCCATACCTACATAGCACCTATCGCAAATTTAACGAAAATAATCTTCAAATTTTAAAACTCCAGAGTAGAAAAAACCATGGGATTACCGAAGATCGTCGTTTGACAGTTTTTTTATTATGGAAAAATAAAGTGACACTAGCTAAAAAAATTCTAAATCCTTTTGCGCGCTAAATAGGCAATGCTTCCGCCCAATGCCATCGATTGTATAATATGAAGTCTCGATCTACAAACATTCCTGTGTTAAAAATAGCTTAGGTTATTCATTCTCGCGTTAAAATTTCGATTTCAATCTTTTAAATATTCTTCCTTGAAGTATCCAAAGTTTTTCAAATACCCAATTAACAAGACGTAACTTCATGTAGCATTGATTATCGATTCCATTACTTTTGATTTAAAAATTGATTTGAACAAATTTTTCATCAAACTTTTGACAACAATGATCTTCTTATACTTTTTTTTCGTGAATATACCGTATTTGCATTCATCAAACAATTCATAAAACTATTATGTAAAAGAAGAATTTGATTTTATGTACTCCTCGATTATGCAAACGAAATATACTCTCAAAACGTGTTGGCATTCGCGCAAACTTGCATTTTATACATGCAGATGCTTTTAGGGTCTTTAGGATTGGGAAATCATCGGGTCTTGTGTTATTGATTTTTCACAACTTAAATTTGCCACGGACAATCGAGTTACTTTCGAGCTTTGATTTAAATTAAGAAAAAGTAATGATAAAATGCACGATTGACCAAGATGAAATTCCAAGAGAAGAAAAAAAATCGGCGCGACGGAGCGTCTCGCATTAACGAGCGGAAATCACACCTACAATTGATCTCATGCCTTTTTGACGAACAAAACATATTGAGTAATGTCAATTTTTCGGTGCGACATAGTAATTATCGCGCAACGGAACAACACTATAAGTAGATCGCAATAATAAAGCTGCTACTGGGTCTGCTTCCGGGCACGGGCTACGAATACAATGGGATGAGACGCCTACGCGGGCGCGCTCAAATCTTTTAATAAATATTCAAAATTAAACAAGCGCTAAATATTCAGCGGATATTATAATCACGAAATATTCGAAAAAGCCACGGTATAAGCTTTCCGATCGACGTTTCACTTGCATACATGTATAATAATTCGAAAGGAAATTGCGACGCGCCTGGGCACACGTGTAGTCGGCAACGCAGCCTACATTACACATGACGTAGCTTGCTTACAAGTGATAGCGCATACAAGTGGTAGTGCTGTGTAAACTCCAAACATCTCACGGTATCATCCTCGATTATTTGATCTTTCTCGCGTAACATCTTTACGGCGCATTGACAAGCGCTGCAAATTCAGCCGAACGTACTGTACAGAGGCAAGATTCTGGCGCGCGACTTTTCTTTCGGCGCAAAACTAGATGCTACATGCGTATGCGATTATACATACACTTAATCACGATCTTTGAGCTTTTACATAATGTTAGATTAATTTTCAAGCGTACACTTGGCTCCCAAACATACACATAATAAGTCTTGTCATAATCGAACATTACGCGAGTCTCGTTCGTCACTCTATCGCGTCATACGTAGTATGTGCGTGCCGTCCTTTAGGCTATAGACCGACTATTCGTGTACGAGACCATCGACGAAAAATATTCTCCGCGGCTCGTTGAGACACATCCCGCCTGGGGGGATATATTTTATATATGCATACACTCATACATGTGTGTGTATTACGCGTTAATGTGCATGCACGACGACTTTGCCAATCGGCCAATAATGCACGTTATATGATTTACGAATAATTTTATGCATGCGTAAATAAAATCTGATTATTATTTTTTTTTCTCGAAAATTGAATGTTTAAGGCCTAAATGCGAGATTATCACTCTGTAAATCAACTATAATCGTAGCTTTATCATTCCATTTTTCGTGTCGTAGATTATTCGATATTTGTAAAATCAGGCATTTTACTATATCAAAATAAGATTGCATGAAATATTGATTTGGTTTTATTAATTTGTTTCAATAATTATAAATTACTTCTCGGAACTCCTCTTGTTTGATGAATAGTTACTTGTTTTCTGACTTGATTGTGAGTAATAGCGCAAAAAATATCATTTTTATAGTGCGAATTGCTTCAAAACATCCTTGCGCACGTTTGAACAAATAGGCTTGTTATACTTAACAACGATCAGCTTCGCGCAGATATTGGAAAATATTATATAAAAAGAAAAATAATAATCTCGAAGCTCGAACGAATGCAAAATTCAAACGATCGGCAATTATTTCGAGGCGAAGATGATCACCTTCGAAAAACTCTGTATGCTACAATGGAAAATCATCATTAATATCAGAGAGTCAGCTTCGTCGGCGTTTGCGCAACACTCGAGCATCGACGCTAATTGCATCCCTTTTATCAGCCGTACGTCGAAAGAAGACGAAGAAGCCGAAGAGAAAAAAGCCGCAAGGTGAATTAGAATATTTTTCGAATTAATCTATTCCGCATAGGTCGAATCATCTTCGTATCATCGTCTCGTCACTCACACAGTAGGACACAATGACGAACGAATAATAATCATCCGTCTCAATAAGGCAAAAAAAGCGTATTTTTCAATTTTTAACACCGTAATTTACGTATTACCGGCTAAACGAAATTGGTTAGCATAGACATTACAAAGGCAAACCGCAAAGAGAGAGAGAGAGAGAGGGAGAGATGGAAAAAAGGTCAATAGAGCTCACCCGGTATAAACAACAATATGTATCCCACATGCAAATCATCTGTGGCACGCGAGCGCGGCCTAATGGTGCAATTAAACATCGCCGACCCCGAGCAAGGCCTGCATATACACACGTAAAATCAGCGCTAAAATGATTCGTCTGTATAATGCAGTGTAGAATATAGAAGCGTGCGGCTTCGCGATTGTCGTTCGACCGATCCTCCGAGTCTTTTCTCTCTCTTTAGCTAACATCTCGAGCTACGTGAGCATACGTACTTACGCTGCAGGGGCGAGTCTTGTGTACAGGCAAGACTATTGCGCTTCTTACGCTGTCGTTCCAAAGTCTATGTGCTGCATGCATATAATATCTAAGCGGCGGCATCATGGTGGGGCTTCGAACGCGTCTTCTAACATAGGTGACTTATGGGCTTTGGGTATTTTATGCATGCACTTCTTGAGACTATATAAAGCCAAGTGCATCGGCGCATCCTTGCTCAAATCGGCGTGTCGTTTTTATAGCTCATAGACATTGTATTTATACATACGCAGTGCCACGATTAGGATTTTACTGTACTTACTTTTTTAATCTACGCCAAAATGAATATTACGACGGTGGGTGAAAATAAAAAAAAATTTTCAAGTACTTATCTGCGTGATTAGTATTGCGCAATAATAGTTCGAATGAAATTTTAGGTCCACATTTATTATGCGCGCAGTGAAAGTGTAATTGAAAGATAAAGTGTCGAGTTTTGAGTTTAGCCGTTACTACTTTTTAGTGCGAGTTGTCATTTACGCTTGTTCTTGTAGCTACTTTAACAATCATTTAGATGTACTATTGTGTTTTCATGTGCTGTGCCTATGATACTACTTTTATCAATTATTGCACCCTCATAGCAGCTTATGAATTATTTTATTTTGGGAAGCAAACCCTGACTTGAATTATTAATTGCCGATAAAGTTTGCACTGGTTGTTTTTACATTTCGACTCGAGAAGTGAAATTATGCTAATAAAGTCTGTAACGATGTAATTTAAATTACTTTCTATAACGAGATGAAATCAGAAGTAATTATCGTTTATGTAACAGCATGTTTTGGATTAAACGGAACAATGTTGAAAATAATTCAATCAATCTTCGATAATTGATTATGTTTTGCGTAGCATATACATTTACTTTTGTTCTAATCTTACTGCGGTATTTTATGAGGATACATTTGAATCGGACGATGTTTCGCACGTGTCCTGATACACGGAAGAATTTTAAAATTAGGAAATTTTTAGTTTTATTTACCCAGCTTCTATTTCGAATGTAAATGGCTTTTTCAACTCGTGCAAAACTTTTCATTTTCTCTTGTTGTTTTTATCTTTTTTTCTCAAAAAAAAATCAATCCAAACGCTTGATAGTCGAGCAAATGTGTCATGCTTTTCTTTCCTCTATATTAATCTCCTTCCAGAGATTTCTATATCGAAAGATTATGTATTATTCAGAAGTTTGTCCCGAGAACCGCTTTGATAAAAAACTGAACAGAAAAGAAATTAGGCGAAAGGATGAAATCATCCGTTTGCCGATCTATTGAATAACTTGATTTAAAAATAGATTTATAAAACAAAATTGATCCTTCCGATCTATTTTTGTTCTTGCGAAAAGTGCAACGCAATCAATCATGGAATTTGTAATAAAATCAACGCGTTCGAGTCTAAATTCTTTCTTTGTTTTTTTAACTGTGAATATGTTATTCATAATGCAATTGACTAATCGCCACAAAAAGTAGTTCTGCAGCTAAGTCAGTATGGAATATGTTGATGCTGTCGAATAAAATATTTATTCGTTATTCGCTTTGTAGCGCTTTGTAAATTGCGTTACTTTGTAACGGTTCATTAAACGACTGTCACGACTCGTGACAATTTTCTAAGTCGCGAGTGCAAAGGGCCCCGAATAGCTGCGACATAGTCAGCTCGCGTCTCCGAGATGCATCTGAGCTCTTAATTAAGCTAGCACGATCGCTAAACTCGAGTCATTAAATTACATGTCTCGTAATCTAGCCACGATAGAATTACCAAGCTCATAATTTGGGAACGAATTCCAAAAGAAATCAAAAGCCATAGCTGCGGCCTAGTGTCAGAAATAAAGTAAGGTGTATATGGCGTTTATGTACGAAAAGTAGGGCCGAGTATTATATAGGGCCTCGCGTGCGCATCGCGTACAACTGTAACACACAAAGTGTAACGGCGCGTCTTTGAGTGCAATGCAATGTAGCAGCGTCTATAAACTCGTGGCTTCTTGTTCGCGAAATCGTTACTAGCACTCGTAATCGCTATTGTATATGTATTGCAAATAGCAGCCGATTTTCGCGTCGAATCGTATTCGCGCTTACGTAAAATCGCACCGAACGCGTCTTCCCAATGTATTCGCGCGTGACGTTTTGAGAGGAGAAAGCCAAAGTTCATCCAGCAATCATTACGGCACGTACGCTGTATAGCTCCTATCAAAAGTACCCCGCGTGATACAAGCAAATATATATCTTTGTCTCTGTTTAAATGCCAAAAGTCAGTACGAACCGTTGCAGGTGTTTTTGTTGAGCGTCGCGACGTTGCTGCTGCTGCAGCATTCGTGCAGGGCCGCGCCTCAGGCAGCCGGCAACAACCCCTACGCCGGAATCACGATAGTCAAGCAGGAGGAGAACAACAACATCGGCGTGGACGGCTACCACTACAGCTACGAGCAGAGCGACGGCCATCGCAAGGAGGAGACGGCGGTCATCGTGAACCAGGGCACCGAGGACGAGGCCCTCGAGGTCACCGGCAGCTTCCAGTACCAGACGCCCGACGGCAAGACCTACCGAGTCGATTACAAGGCCGACAAGGACGGCTTCCATCCCACGATTACGCTCGTTTAGCGACTCCTTTTGCACGGCTTTCTTCTTTTTTCTTTTCTTTTATTAATCTATTCAGTTGTTCAGTTTTACCTATTGTTAGCCGCATACCGAGAGTAGACGCGTGAGCGAAAGGGCTGAGTAAGAATACGGTTTCATCCACAAATTTTTCAACTCTGAACAACAAAATAAAAACGTTCACGTACTTTTTACAAAATAAAAAACATGAAATAGAAAAAGAATTAGGTCAAAAACATTTTTAACCACTTCGAACAACAAAGCAGTTTGTCGTTGTATATGCTTACTACATGAATTATTTATGATGGCTCCTATATTGTAAAATACTGCAACAAAATTCAAGTTTGTCGAATTATCAAAAATTATGTATGTATATAGTTCAATTAATTATTCGGTCTATGATGTTATTGCTGTAGTAATCGTCAAAACTTATGCCAGATATTCCTTTGTATAATAATATCTTAACACATGAAAAATATTTTGTCAACATATTATTTTATCATTTTATTGAATAAAAATTACGAATTAATATGTTTTTAATCATAACTTAAATTGCATGAATAACCCTTTTCTCTTGTTTAGCTACTAAAACCATATTTCTCTGAAGATGTTTTAGTTAATATATATTTTCCTGTAGTTTTATTTGTTGAGTCTCGTCACTTCACGTCTTCATGTCATTATATGCCCCAACAGAAGAGTATGCACAACTTGGGCAGCTTGATAAGTTGCGACCAGTGACATTTGAGGAAATTTTAACTTAGTAACTTAGTTTAAAGTATTTACTCAGTCTTATGAAATGGATTTGTTGCTTTGATAAAATAATTATATTATATGTTAAAATAAATAATTAATTTTTTTTCGTGTCACGGCTGAATTGTAATTTAATTAATTAATTAATGTTATAAAAAAATAGAAATAACGCTCGGGCACCAACTACGAAATAACGGAGTGAATGTTAAAAGAACATCTTTAATTAGTATTATAAAAATGATAATTTTAGGAAAAACTTTTTTAGTTTGCATCGATCAACCATTGAGTTTTGAACTTTATACCAAAAAATATTCTAGTCGTTCTAATTTTCTGACGCGAAACTTCTTCTAGGGTCTCCAGATTTAAACAGTTTACAATTTTGAACACCCATGTGGATGCCGAATTGGCGCTTCACTGCATCTTTTGCCGTCTTCTTTTTTGATTACAACAAGGTAAAAGACACATGGCATTCAATATTCGTTTAGTTTTTATTTAAATGTTATTATCTTTTTTCAATAATTGTTACTTACATTGTATGTGAAACTGTAAATTTTCCAACTTTAATTGAATATTAATTTTTTTTCAGTGTTAACAACTACTACAATTTTAAAAATGTCTGACGTTGAGACGTAAGTACTAATCTTGACTACTCGTGTTTATATTTTTTTTCATAGACAGTAGAATGCGCCGAAAGTTCTATGATGATTCAAAAATTTGTTGTCAACAAAATACAACAATTTCATGTTACATTTATTTCCAATAATCAAATTAATTGTGCAATCAGTTATTTACTAAAAAAATATAACCTAAAATTGCAATAATTAAATGCTTGTAGTATTATTATTATATTATGTGAATGACAACTATAATATCATTTTCTAGCGATGATGTGCCCTCGGCAGTTGGTGGCCCTATGGATGTGAACACAGCACTCCAAGAAGTCCTTAAAACAGCCCTCATCCACGATGGAGTTGTACGAGGCCTTCATGAGACCACAAAAGTATTAGACAAGTACGTTAAAAATTCTGCAATCAATAAAATCTATTAATTTTATGATATTATCATTCTTCTATACTTTATTTTCATTTTACTTATAATAATTTCATCAATAGGCGACAGGCTGTTCTTTGCATTCTTGCTGAGAACTGTGAAGAAGCTGACTACAAAAAAGTGATCTCAGCTTTGTGCAATGAACATCAAATACCTCTTATCAAAGTAGACAATAACAAAAAGCTTGGCGAATGGGCTGGCTTATGCAAGGTTGATAAAGACGGTAAAGCTAGGAAAGTTGTTGGATGCTCCTGCGTAGTCATTAAGGTACAATTCTTTTTAATCAAATTTTTTTTATTTAATTGGTTTTTTATTTAAGAATTTCAACAAGCATAAAAACTTGATTATGATGATATTTGGGCTCCCTCTACTGAGATGAACCCAAAAAATTTTAATTTTTTGCTGAAAATAGCCATTTCTGACACAGTCTTGATTTTATGTAGTGTTTATTGAAATTATGAATTGATATTTAATAGAACTTTTTTTTAGGACTTTGGTGAAGATACTCCAGCTAAAGATGTTCTTATGGACTACCTTAAACAAAGTGCTGTTCATTAAGTTTAAAACTTTTTTTAGGACTTCTGTGAAGATACTCCAGCTAAAGATGTTCTTATGGACTACCTTAAGCACAGTGCTGTTCATTAAGTTAAGTTTAATAAAAAAACTATAAACAAAAACTTTCATCAGAGTACTTTCATTACGACATGCGTAAGAAAAATAAAATATTTTCCAAATAATGCATGAATAATAAGTTTTATGATTTTATGATTTTTACTGCTGAAATTGCATGTGCAGCCTAGTTTAAACAAAAACTTTTCTTTTTGTAATTATAAGCAATATCTTGCAAATAAGCATTCTCTAACTTCAATTATGTTTAATTTACTAAAATTATTAGCATTGCCAAAGATTTGAGCCAAACATTGTAAGTTTTCATAGCTGTTTAAAGTAAAGTTTTGGTTCTGTGGTCTGATAAATGTTTCAATATTTTGTTACCTTTTTTCTGATAGAACTACTGATTCAAATACTGTTTTTTTCATTTAAATACATGAAAAACTTCTGAGAATATTAATTGAGACACTTAAGAAATAAAATATAAAGTTTTAAAGCTTTGCATGTTACAAAGAATAGAGATATTATATTATATTAGAGAAAATAAAAGTAACAAATCATACTACGTTAATTTACATAGAAATAAATATCAATCCTATAATCAAAATCAAAAAAAGGTCATTTACAATGACTAAAATGATTAGTAAATATGTAAGTCCACTGATAATTTCTTACAATATTTTTTGATTTGCTTATAAAAGATTTATTAAATAATTTCAAAAATAATCGAATTAATTGTTACTTGAAAGGTATCAATCGCTAAAATGAATATATAATATCTTAATATTTTAGTACATATTTTTCACTTACTGCTCAAACAGTACATATCTGTTTTCTCATTTTAAAAACTTCTTAGCGTCACTAAGACTCATTCTTGTTATTGTATCATATTTTAGATCTAACCCATTTATATTCGTTTCTCAAATTAATAAGCATTTCATATGTATACTTATTTCTCGACACTTTTTTCATAATGTAGAGAGTTTGAATGCAGACATCTGTAGTTACTATTAGCTAAAAAAATCGTTGTTTTAATTTTAACCCGAACCGTATTATCAGTGCGCGCCGGTATTATTCGAGAAGTATCGCGTGGTACAGATGTAGCATCGTCGTGTCGCGTATCTTGTAATATATGACCCCATGATACATTTGGAATGGTACATATCATTTCACTTTTCACTTATGATGCGTTCTATTTGAATAAAATTTTGCGGATCATATTTTTCTTCTGTTATAAAATTTCTAATATTTTGGGATAAAAGTAATGTATTAAGTTACATATGTGTAACATTTATTTACTGAAAAATCTACATAATCTATACAATTATAGTTTTTTTAATTCAATTACTTATACAATTAATAATAAAATCTAAAGGTTATATGTAAATAAATAATTCGAATAAATACAAATATATCGTCCAAACTGCCGAACGATAAAAATATCGACTCATGAGTCTCTTTAGAAAATTAAAAAAATGGTAAATGGTTATAAATGTTATACAAAACAATATGTGAATACCTCAAATTTCATTACAAAAAAATATCGAAAGTAGAAATTTCTGGAAAAAGTGAGATTGAAAATGCAATTTTATATTGATTGACTAAAATGGAGCATCTTAATAATACACTTGAGAAAAGAAAAAGTTATAATTGTTCGATTTATATCAATTAATTGACAGGTTTCAATTTTTTTTAAGCATTCTTTACGTTGAAAGTTTGAATCATGGATATTTCATTAGCAAGGAGGTATACAGGGCGCTGCTAATGTAAACGCATCTCTCTGTAGAAATAGTAAAAGGGCTTCCTTAAAATTGAAGAACCACTCTTAGCAATGGAAAAATGTTCGTTGACTACACATCTTTATTATTACGTTTTTGAATTGCTACATAAATACTAAGTATCAAAGCCAATTTTATGACTTGAAATTTCAAAATCATCATCTACCGAATTACATTGATACACTGATTTTGATCATTATTATTAATTATATATATTTATACTTTTACTAATTATTTATACTGTTTTTTTAAATAATTTCGAATTTTATATGAGTGCCAAGATGATAGCCGAAGTTTTTATCTACTCTCGTAAATCCGCTCGAACGAATACTCGAAACTCAAATCTCGAGATACAGCAGCTGCGGTGCGGAGTCTCGTTACATGTATGTACTTATCATTTTTATTCATATCTTGGTAGCAAGTTCTACAGAAATAACTAATCTCATATTTCGAATTTGAGTCGAAAACAACACATTAGCTTTGGTACTGAATGATTCCCCTCTTGTTGATATAAATTCATCATCACTGATTTTTTAGCCAGTTAGCTTCAATGCTGCATCGATCTCGTTCAGTCTCGTGCTTGCCTTTGGTTCGGTAGTGTCATGCGCGCTCACAGTGTTCAATGATATCATAATTTTAAACCTCTTTGAAGAAAGGCAGAACCAAACGTAAGTAACTTATAAAAACATGTGATTTTTAACTCAGCTTATTGAACATCTCGATTAAATAAGAATCAGTCAGAAAAGAAAAATAAAAACTTTATATACATTTTATAAGCGAAATATCTAGTTTAACTTATCAGGATAACTTAATTCTCTTTTTTACAAACCAATTGGTTTGATCTACCGAAAAAACGGTTAACTAATTAAAAATTTTCTAGATTTTTCAATTTTCAATTTTTATAAGCATCAAGTCTGCAAATTGCAATTTATCTTCATATCCATGCCAGTATACAAAATTGTTTAAGAACACAATGCATTTTTTACAAAAACATGATAAATTTTTCGTACTAAGATTCTTTTGCTTCCTTCATAATTCCGGCTTAGGAGGAGGCGCGGAAATTGGTTGAATCGTGACTTACAAGTCAAGATTTACTTACTTACTTACTTACTCACAAGAATTAGTGTCGTGTTAGTACGACAATGATTCTCGAGTCTGAGTCCGAGTTTTAATAAAACTGATACGTGAATCAAACGAATAAAACTTCGCCATCTGAAAACTGTGTGAACAATAAGCTTCAGGCACGAAAATTTACCCTCTATTTCCGTAGCACTGTTATGTAGCCTTTTATGTAGCTAATAACTTTGATATTTTACTTTAATTCTTACTGCTGTTGTCTGAAAAGGAGGAGCGTTGAAATGAGTATATGATGCCGTAGTGAGGTTTACACACAAGACTTTATTATATAAACATAAAACTTAATATTATTCGAACAAAGCTTACAAACTACTTCGGCAGAATATCGGTGATCTTGATGCTGGCTCGCTGTTGGTCGGCCGAGTTGAACGGCTGGTGGTGGCGGCTGTTTGGCTGGTGCAAATACAGATGCACCCTCACGAGTTTTACAGTTCACACAAACAACAAATCGCTTATACACTCGTGGCTGTATAATTACAATTACAATCAAACTATTGCGCTGTTACAATTGTATTTACTTGTCGTGAAATAACAATTACACTTGTACTCGGTGATGCTGCTCGACACTGACCTATGCTTTAATCGATGTTTAATATATTGATTGACCGGAGCTTTTACTATTGTAATTCAATCATTTAACACAGAGCTTCGCCCTACTAAACGTTACAGATTGATCTGCCTGAGTCTCGCTCTACTCAACGATTTTTTATGATCTGCCCCAAGGCCTAATTTTTACCCCGTGTTATATATCTTTTTTGCATGGGTAATAATAACTTTATTATTTTCAATTTAATCCTTACTGTTGATGTCTCAGAAGGAGGAACATGAAATGAGTGTATAGTGCACTAGTGAGGTTCACACTCAAGACTTTATATCAATAATTCGTTGCACGCACAGTCTCGACTTGTCGCGGAATATCAATTGCACTTGCACTCGGTGATGTTAATTAGTGTTCTTCGTACAAAGTATATCTCACGTAAAGAATCAACCGGAGTGCAACAGAAATTTGCTTTACCGTGTAATTAAATCGATCAGTCTGAACCTTTGCTCTACTCAACGATACTTGATGATCTGCCCCGAGGCCTAATTTTTACGCCGGTTATATACTAATTTATTCATGCATCTTCTCGGCGGGGGCATATCTTGGTGTTTTTTCCCTCAATAGATAAACTACTTGTTTTTTCGTCGCTTGTTGATCCGTGTCCGCGGGTCAAACAAGTGCCGTTCTATTTACCCATATTTGGGCGAGTTCTTCTCGGAGCTCGGGTCGCGCTGTAACCCTAGTGACGCACAGGTCAATCTCCCGGTGATAAGGGAACTTGCGAGCGCGCCTGCAACTATGTTTTTTTTCCTCCGTGCCATTTCGAAATAGGCCACGGGTTTCATCTCCCGCGCGTGTGTCATGCTTTCTCTGTATTCGGCTTGCATACATATGCGAGTAGACATACATGTGCGGGTCCGATCTAATGCGTCGGCGTATGTTAGCCGCACATACTTACTCACACATACATTCAAGCGACAGTTGGGCTTACTTGCGCCAACGTATGCCTACCAGCCTCGCGTAACATAATGTACATCTTGGCTGTACCGCCTTTTCTCTCGCGATATCATGCGCTTGTTTTTGCGTCATGTGTGTCCGCTCGCCTTGCTAGATTGCACCGTTCTTAAATATTATTTTAATTTTATTATGCTTAATACTATAGTTATTGGTTTATAACACCTCCAAGCCTATAAGAACTCGTGAGCTACCGCTCATGGGGATATATTTTTATAATAATAAAATATATAATGATAAAAATATATCACGCCTTCATGACTCTTAATGGTAGGCGAGTCTTTCTAGTTTTATCATCATTCGTACAATCATTTTTGACCTTCGTATATAATATTGCCTTTGCAGTACGTGCTGTACCTTTTCTTTTGCAGGCAAGCACGTTATTAATTGTGTCTATTTTTGGTTTAAAGTATTGTGTGTACATTGTAGAATTTTAATGTTGCTATGCGTTGGTACCTTTTTTTAATCAAAGGCAGCGTAGATCCGTGAGCCGGGTGTGTCCGGCTTCTTTCCGCACTTGCTACAAGTCGGCGCGTCCGGCTCCCAGCTTTCCTCGTGGCACCTCTCGTTACGGTCGGCGGTGATGACGAGTTTCACT